TTATTATTACATGTACTGTTGAAGATAAACATGTTTTTCTTCTCCAATATCTGATTAATTCAGAGATTCAATAAAACAAATATGGTGAAAAAAAAGTATATTTTGTACTGATTTTCATTTGGCGTATTCTGAATGACAAGTTTATTTCGTCAAAGTTACTTGTATGACATTCTTAATTCGTTTACCAACGGAAGTTGAAAACAAGCTTACTTATTGGTGTGTCAGAAGTTGAGTTATGCTACAAAACATGTACTTGTCCATGTAAAATTTAAATCTATTTACCTATTTTATCCGACTTTATTTTATGAGTGAGATATTGAATAACAGCTGTTGAACTGTTTTATTTAATGTTGAGAAACAAGTACTGGAATAAATACAGTAAAACTGATTTAAAGCCAATCTTTGGAGTCTTTATTATGACTGAAGATACAGTGAATTTAGCTCAAGGGTTGAAAGACTTGGAACACTGTTGATTGCCCCTGGGATGGAGGTTACAGCCCTGGGAACAAGGTTTATGCCCTGGGAATGAGGTTAACAGCCCTGGGAACAAGGTTGATGCCCTGGGAAGGAGGTTAACAGCCCTGGGAACAAGGTTGGTGCACTGGGAAGGAGGTTAACAGCCCTGGGAACAAGGTTGATGCCACTGGGATGAGGATGAAATGGACTAAAATATACAAACTTGTTCAAAAACTTGTTTTTAAATTCAATCATTTATTTGTACCATAACGCTTGTATAAACCAGATGAAGAATTTAAAAACGGGTTATCTTGCATTAATAAGTATTTCTAAGTCGTTTGCAGAAAAGTCAATTTTTGGCCCAATTTAACGAAAAAATATAAGGTTAACCCCTTGCAATTTTTTTCAATTTGGCCGAAAAATAAAGGTACATAAAATTACACTAAAGATGCCCAAGGGTTCCTTAAACACATTCCTACACATTTCCTGGACAAAAAGTGCCATTCAGAAGAAAGAATGCATAAATATTTTAAGCAAAATAAGTCCAAAATGATAATATGTGACCAAAAACTGGATTATTTTTGCCCAATTTCTCAAAATTCTCGATGTATGAATACTGAAAATGTGTTCCTGGTGCATCAAGAGGTATTTCTGAGTCGTTTACAGAAAAGTCAATTTTTGGCCCAATTAACGAAAAATGTAAGGCTAACCCCTTGTTTTTTTGTCAATTTTGGCCCCAAAAATAAAGTTGCTTAAAAATTACACAAAAGATGCCCAAGGGTCCCTTAAACACATTCCTACACATTTCCTGGACAAAAAGTGCCATTTAGAAGAAAGAATGCATCAATATTTTAAGCAAAATAAGTCCAAAATGATAATTTTTGACCAAAAACTGGATTACTTTTGCCCAATTTCTCAAAATTCTCGATGTATGAATACTGAAATGAGTTCCTGGTGCATCAAGAGGTATTTCCGAGTCGTTTACAGAAAAGTTAATTTTTGCCCAAATTTCAGTAAAAATGTAAGGCTAACCCCTTGTTTTTTTTTTCAATTTTGCCAAAAAAAAAGTTGCTCAAAAATTACACGAAAGACGCCCAAGGGTCCCTTATAACACATTCCTACACATTTTCTGGACAAAAAGTGCCATTTAGAAGAATGCATAAATATTTTATGCAAAATAAGTCCAAATGATAATTTTTGACCAAAAATTTGAATATATTTTGCCCAATTTCTTAAAATTCTCGATGTTTGAATACTGAAATGTGTTCCTGGTGCATCAAGAGGTATTTCTGAGTCGTTTACAGAAAAGTCAATTTTTGGCCAATTTCAGTAAAAATGTAAGGCTAACCCCTTGTTTTTTTTTTCAATTTTGGCCAAAAACAAAGTTGCTCACAAATACATGAAGACGCCCAAGGGTCCCTTATACACATTCCTACACATTTTCTGGACAAAAAGTGCCATTTAGAAGAAAGAATGCATCAATATTTTAAGCAAAATAAGTCCAAAATGATAATTTTGACCAAAAACTGGATTATTTTTGCCCAATTTCTCAAAATTCTCAATGTTTGAATACTGAAATGTGTTTCCTGGTGCATCAAGAGGTATTTCTGAGTCGTTTACAGAAAGTCAATTTTTGGCCAAATTTCAGTAAAAATGTAGGCTAACCCCTTGTTTTTTTTTTCAATTTGGCCCAAAAAAAAAGTTGCTCACAAATACATGAAAGACGCCCAAGGGTCCCTTATACACATTCCTACACATTTCTGGACAAAAAGTGCCATTCAGAAGAAAGAATGCATAAATATTTCAAGCAAAATAAGTCCAAAATGATAATTTGTGACCAAAAACTGGATTATTTTGCCCAATTTCTCAAAATCTCAATGTTTGAATACTGAAATGTGTTCCTGGTGCATCAAGAGGTATTTCTGAGTCGTTTACAGAAAAGTCAATTTTTGGCCAAATTTCGGTAAAAATGTAAGGTAACCCCTTGTTTTTTTTTGCAATTTTGGCCAAAAAATAAAGTTGCTTAAAAATTACACGAAAGATGCCCAAGGGTCCCTTAAAAACATTCCTACACATTTCCTGGACAAAAAGTGCCATTTAGAAGAAAGAATGCATCAATATTTTAAGCAAAATAAGTCCAAAATGATAATTTGTGACCCAAAACTGGATTATTTTTGCCCAATTTCTCAAAATTCTCGATGTTTGAATACTGAAATGTGTTCCTGGTGCATCAAGAGGTATTTCTGAGTCGTTTACAGAAAAGTCAATTTTTGGCCAAATTTCAGTAAAAATGTAAGGCTAACCCCTTGTTTTTTTTTTCAATTTTGGCCAAAAAAAAAAGTTGCTTAAAAATTACACGAAAGATGCCCAAGGGTCCCTTATACACATTCCTACACATTTTCTGGACAAAAAGTGCCATTTAGAAGAAAGAATGCATAAATATTTTAAGCAAAATAAGTCCAAAATGATAATTTGTGACCAAAAACTGGATTATTTTTGCCCAATTTCTCAAAATTCTCAATGTTTGAATACTGAAATGTGTTCCTGGTGCATCAAGAGGTATTTCTGAGTCGTTTACAGAAAAGTCAATTTTTGCCAAATTTCGGTAAAAATGTAAGGCTAACCCCTTGTTTTTTTTGCAATTTTGGCCAAAAAATAAAGTTGCTTAAAAATACACGAAAGATGCCCAAGGGTCCCTTAAACACATTCCTACACATTTCCTGGACAAAAAGTGCCATTTAGAAGAAAGAATGCATCAATATTTTAAGCAAAATAATTAAGTCAAAATGATAATTTGTGACCCAAAACTGGATTATTTTTGCCCAATTTCTCAAAATTCTCGATGTATGAATACTGAAATGTGTTCCTGGTGCATCAAAAGGTATTTCTGAGTCGTTTACAGAAAAGTCAATTTTGGGCCAAATTTCAGTAAAAATGTAAGGCTAACCCCTTGATTTTTTTCAATTTTGGCCCAAAAAATGAAGTTGCTTAAAAATTACACGAAAGACGCCCAAGGGTCCCTTAAACAATTCCTACACAATTCCTGGACAAAAAGTGCCATTTAGAAGAAAGAATGCATCAATATTTTAAGCAAAATAAGTCCAAAATGATAATTTTTGACCAAAAACTGGATTATTTTGCCCAATTTCTCAAAATTCTCAATGTTTGAATACTGAAATGTGTTCCTGGTGCATCAAGAGGTATTTCTGAGTCGTTTACAGAAAAGTCAATTTTTGGCCAAATTTCAGTAAAAATGTAAACCCCTTGTTTTTTTTTTTCAATTTGGCCCAAAAAAAAGTTGCTCACAAATTACATGAAAGACGCCCAAGGTCCCTTAAACACATTCCTACACATTTTCTGGACAAAAAGTGCAATTTAGAAGAAAGAATGCATAAATATTTTAAGCAAAATAAGTCCAAAATGATAATTTGTGACCAAAACCTGGATTATTTTTGCCCAATTTCTCAAAATTCTCGATGTATGAATACTGAAATGTGTTCCTGGTGCATCAAGAGGTATTTCTGAGTCGTTTACAGAAAAGTCAATTTTTGGCCCAATTTAACAAAAATGTAAGGCTAACCCCTTGTTTTTTTGTCAATTTTGGCCCCAAAAATAAAGTTGCTTAAAAATTACACAAAGATGCCCAAGGGTCCCTTAAACACATTCCTACACATTTCCTGGACAAAAAGTGCCATTTAGAAGAAAGAATGCATCAATATTTTAAGCAAAATAAGTCCAAAATGATAATTTTTGACCAAAAACTGGATTACTTTGCCCAATTTCTCAAAATTCTCGATGTTTGAATACTGAAATGTGTTCCTGGTGCATCAAGAGGTATTTCTGAGTCGTTTACAGAAAAGTCAATTTTTGCCCAAATTGCATTAAAAATGTTTTTTTTTTGAATTTTGGCAAAAAATAAAGTTGCTTAAAAATTACACGAAAGACGCCCAAGGGTCCCTTAAACACATTCCTACACATTTCCTAGACAAAAAGTGCCATTTAGAAGAAAGAATGCATCAATATTTTAAGCAAAATAAGTCCAAAATGATAATTTTTGACCAAAAACTGGATTATATTTGCCCAATTTCTCAAAATTCTCGATGTTTGAATACTGAAATGTGTTCCTGGTGCATCAAGAGGTATTTCTGAGTCGTTTACAGAAAAGTCAATTTTTGGCCAAATCGCATTTAAAATGTAAGGCTAACCCCTTGTTTTTTTTTCAATTTTGGCAAAAAATAAAGTTGCTCAAAAATTACAAGAAAGACGCCCAAGGGTCCCTTAAACACATTCCCTACACATTTCCTGGACAGAAAATTTATACAGTAATTATTCCATAATCCCACATGGGTTGATTTTCAATCAATGCATCATTCAAAAAAAAAATGAATAACTTTTTGCATTGCTAGAAAGGTAGTAGTTAAAAAACAAAACCATTTCCTATTGAGAAATAATTTGCTTAATTTAGTGATGTCAAAATAGAAACAATAATCTCCATGTGCGTGCAACTGGTTAGCACAATTCAAAACGTACCATGACAATGGCATCTAGGTTCCATCTGAGAGTTTTGCCTTTTTGACAATATGGTACCTGGGTCTTAGCTGCTGTAGTCGTCTCTTCTTGGCTTCCTTCTTGTTCTGATGCTTCTTCTCTTTAGGTTTTGCTGCTTGGACTGGATCAGCAACAGCCTGAACATGAGAGGGGGGGGGAGAACAAGACAATCAATGAATGAGGAAAACAGAGGAAAGGGGCAAAATCTGACTTAATCTTACGTCATGCAAGAGTGTTTTTGGTAAGACATATGTGTCAACACACAGAACAATGAATACAACCAAACTGACCATCACAAATTTTCAACAGTGTTTCTGTGTAACAGCTTTGTCATTCACAAGTCTGATAGTTTTCTGCATCATTTAAAAGTTGAATTTAAATCACTTATTGAAAATTATTGCTGTGCTCTTTATTCTTCACAGTTCACAATTCACTTGGTTACAGTTTATTTGAATAGCTTGTGACTTGACTTGAGTCTGGATGACTTGTGATGACATGTGATGACTTGTGATGACTTGTGATGACTTGTGATGACTTGTGATGACTGATGACTTATGATAACTTGTGATGACTTGATATGACTTATGGTGACTTTAATATCATCATTATTAAAGTCCTCACAAGTCAAGAGTCCCTTAAACACGTTCTTACATGTTTCCTGGACAAAAAGTGCCAGTCCAAAGAAATAATGCATAAATTGATATGACTTGTGACTGACTCGATTACAGCTCCTAGGAAAAGTGACTCTTATTTACCTGTAGCGCCCTCTGTTGTTTGCGTTGGATTCTGGTCTGTGTGATGACCCTTTGGACGTCGGCATAAGCATGAGAGAATGTCTCCAATCCCACAAGGCCCTTGATGAGATCCAATGCTTCCTGACAAAGCTGACGAAGATCGTTGTCTGGTGGAGAAATCAAGACAAGAAAGTCTGATTACTAAAAACCAATCAAGAAAAGCATCGCTGTAGATCCAGAAAAAAAACAATCGTACTTGTTCATTCACAATGAGAGTAATATCAAGAAGTATCAGTTTCTTTAACAGTCTCAGTGAATTGACACGAACTGTGCTATACACGATATCAGAAACTACTTCTAAAAGATTTAATCAGTGGCTTCTAAATTTCAATTCATAATTACACAGATCTCACGGTTTTTTTTATGGTTCAACACCTTATCAAATACAACTAAAATCCCTGAATGCATAGTGAATAATATAGTAAAATATTTTTAATGGTATAATTTAATTTCCCTTTAAAACATAGGAACTCAAAAGGCTGCTGAAGCTGCATTTCAAACTGTAAATGAATATTCAAATCCGACAAGGCAAACCATCTGATGTAATCGAACATTCAGAATGAAAACCGTGCTAAAATTGACATTTTTCCAGCTTTTGTATTCAAAATCATGCTTCTTACTGTTTCTGTTTGACATTGTTCATTGTTTAAAACATTCCCTCAAAAACTAGTTCAGCAGAAGTGTTCACACAATAGATGTGTCTCACCTGCGTGTGACTTTTGATCGCCGATCTCCCGACACATCGGCTTCATCATTAGCTTCAGATAACTGGGCAATCTGTCTCCTCCTACATCCATTGCCATGGCAGCAAGCCACTTGACAACACAAGTCCGTCTCAGGGTCTGTTTGGGTGTCTTGGCTGCCTCTGAGGCAGCGATGCGACACATCCTCCTCAAGAACCAAGTCAAGTCAGCGGGGCTCGGAGTCCGACGTCCAAGTCCTTGTTTGTCCGTGTTGGTGGTATTCTGCTCTGCAGAGAGCTTGGGAGTCCTTTCATCATTTTCATCATCGTTTTCATCTTCACTGTCCAATCTCTCCTCCGTTTGGTAAATCTCAGTTTTATCCGGATACAAACGGTGGATGACTTTTCCAAGGAACACAAGATTTCTCACAACCTGAAATAAATTCAGTCATCAGAATAATTCAATTATCATAATATTGTCAAAACACAAAACTGTCAGAAACTAACCAGGTATCTTGTTAATAAAAATTTGAAGACTCAAGAATCTACCTTCTTGGGCTGCAAACATTTCATGTTTTAATTAAAATTGACACGAATTGGATAAATGTCACATCAAAATCACAATGGTCCAAGACATATAGTCGAGTCAATCATAATTTCAGTTACATGTCAATCACAAGTGAGTTCACACATAAGACCAAAAGAACAATAAACCTAAATTACAATGCAAGTGCCCAAATTTGACTGAGAATTAGGCAGAAATATGCTCTCAAGTGCTTATGCTTGAAGAAGATAAATCCTAATGATTTCTTACCTGATCTCCAAGATCTTTGTTCAGCAAGGCCGACTGAAGCTGCTTGCAAAATGTAAAGACTAACTCCCTGACGATTTCCTGTCCATGGTTCAATGGATACTCCACCGCCTCCATTTTACCTGTGACTCCGCCCCTTTCTTCATCAGCCTTCCTCTTGCGTTTTGTCTTCTTCCCCATCCGATGCTCATTGGCCGAGGTGTTGTAGTCCAGGTACCAGACGCAGCTTTCAGCATGGTTCGGCAATGATGTCTGGTTGTTTAGAAGCAAACAGGTCTCCAAAGAGCTGGGCCGAAACCAGACGCACCCAGGAGTGCGGATGGAGAAGATGAGATTGGATGGAATCTGAAGAAATCAGAAAAGATCAAATTATTTCAAAGTGAATGAATTTTTGGTTTATCCGTTGAGTTGGCATTGGGGTTTTGATTAAAACCCTCTGCACTGGTTAGTAGAATACTGGGGTTTCAGTTTTAGTCAAATAAACTTACGACTACTTGTTACATTTCTTTTGTTTTTCAACAGCTTTTGGAAGGGTGAAATAAATATAAATGATAAAATTTATTCAGATTCAGACAACCTAGAAAAACTATTCTGATTGTTTTGCAGGTTCCACTAGCCAAGCTAACCAGTGCTGGCATTTGCTACTGCTTTATCTCACTCCAAACCTTACCCCAGATTGCATTCAGGGTGTCTGTGTACGCCTTGTTGCCGATGATTGAACAGTGTTTAATCATCTTGGCTAACGCTGATAGCAAGTTGAACAACATGTGATCTGTATGTCTCTCCTCCACAGATGTATCATCTGTCTCCATCGCAGACATGCCATCCTGAGCAAGGACAAAATAAAGAGAAATTCATCATCGTAACCATTTTGTTAGGGGGGGGGGTAGGGAGGTTGACAGGAAACAGTGTGGGACCAGTGATTCTTACAAGCGGCGCCAACTCATCAATTTCAAGAAGTGTTGAACCCTTACTCTACTTCAGCCTCCAAAAATAAATATTCACTTGAAGAGAATGCCCAATTCCACCTGTTTCCAGGGTGAGCTTTACTATGTGGGTGAATAGCCACATGGCAAGCAATGTCAAGGCAATCGTCTGCTAAGCCCACGCCTACCTTCTGCAACCCATCTGGTTTGATATGTTCCTGTATCTGAGGAAGTATGTCATCAACCGTCGCTGGAAACCTGCCTCCTCGGCATCGACAAAGATGCCACAAAGCTGTGAGGCAAGACGCTGATGGGCTGGATTGTCGTCATGGAGCCAGTGGGTTGCCATGGTGAAGAGTTTGTCTCTCTTCTCTACCCGTAACTGGAAACAAAAAAAATGACAAAAACAAAACATAAAAAGTAGGCCAAGAATTATGATAGGCCAATGAAATAAATAATAATCTGTATTCAATTTCTTCTAAATGATTAAAAACCTGGCTATTTCTGACACAATTTGAGGAGAAAAATTTACACTGGTTGCTCTGAAGTTAATTTCCATTCAATGGACAATTCTTTTGTAGGTTGAGGTAGCTTGCTCCAGTGGTAACTCTATTGTCTGAATGATGCCTTATCTATGACTTCATGAGTGAAAAAAATAAAAATTCTACACTGTATGGCATTCCAATTTTATAATTTTTTGGACATAATAAAACATTATTTTTTACCTTCTGCAGCAATGACTTGATGGCCAATGCAGTGATCTTGCGACATTTAGCTGATTCATCGTTGACTAGTCTTGTTGCCATGGGAATAAAAAACATCCCTGCATATGTCTCCAGTGTTTTCTGTATCAATAACACCAAAAAGTAGATCTAAAAATCAAAGAATGTTTTTCAGTATTAAATTGTTTTAACTGATGCTCAGAGTATTACACTCCAAATGTTAACAAAAATTGTTGAGCATTATCTTATTAATTATATTCAATAGCCTAAGATAATATTCCATTTTTTAGGTTAATAGTATCACACCTCTGAGTTATGGAACAATAATTTAATATGAAACTTACAAGTCTAAATATGATGAATTGAGCTCATCAATAGAAAATTCCCCAAAAAGAGGATTTCTGACCTGTGGGAATGATGAGAAGATAGTGGCCAGCATCTCCAGCGAGGATTCACGGCCAGTCTCAAGGTCAAAGTTCAACTGTCTGACATAGAACTCTAGGTGGCGCTTCAGTTTGTCCCAAGAGGGTAGTCCAGAAGAAATTCAGTACAACCTGTGAAAGAAGAAACATGCAAGAAATATTGCTGGTTTGTGCAAAAGTGCAAAACATCAAGAGTGCAAAATCAAAACATTAGATTTTGCTTACTTTTAAACTTATATTTTTTTTAGGTCTTTAGAATTAGACAGTCGTTTCAAATATTTCTTATTTCTCATCAATTTATGTCCACACTCCTTATTTAAAAACAACGACTAGATAAATGTCCAATAAATAATTGCAACCACAAAGATATAACCGCCAGTCAATTCAACAGTATAGTCAAAAGGTTCATTTGAAAAGCTTGTGATGGGACTGGATGACTTGTGAAGACTTATGACAGACTCAACTACAGCCTTGCCCCAAAACTGTAAACATTCAAAAATCTATCTTACAATTCTTGAAATCCTACTTATAGTTAGGGAGGAACATTCTTGGTACAAAGAAAAGCTTGAAATCCTACTTATGCTCAGTCTTTACTATACCTGTCTGCATTGTAATTGACTGAAGGACTCTCGATGTAATCGATAGCTGAGCAACCTTCTTTATCACATCGTGCATCTCGGGTACAATCAACTTCCTCGACAGAATAGCCTGATGAAAACTAAACAGAATTGATTTTCAGGTGAATAAAGCTACTAGACAGAAGTGTGATTTGAACCTGCAACCTTCAAATACTGCACAGGTGTTTGACAGGACTGAGCTATCAAGCCCTCAGTTTGCATTCTCTCAGGTGAGGAAAGTACCGCTATGGCAGTCTTAATGCCTCAGCATCATAGTAGGTGAGGCTGTGATCTCATTTTAAGAGAAGGATATTCTTGGACCATGCTTCTTTTTGTGAGTGCATAGAAGACCTTCTTCATGCCAAGAATAGAAAGCCAGGTGTTAACCATTTACTTGAGTAGACCGAATGCCGTGGCTTGTCTGGTGTGATCATGCATGTCTTCCTCTGCGTAGGTCAGTAGAACCTGTAGTTGTTTCTCATCGATCATGTGTGCTTCACATCACGGACTAGCACTGTGACAGCCTACAAACAATGACAAGTCAATCACAAGTCAGTCACAAGTCTGTCACAAATAGAACACAAGTCAATCACAAGTCAATTGCAAGTGTATCACAAGTAAAGCACATGTCAAATACAGTACACGTAGTCAACCATGAGTCAATCATGGATGAATTTCAAGTCAAGCACAAGCCAATCACATAGCAATTAAAATTTTAACACAAGTTTATCACAAGTCAATCACAAGATGATTATCTTATGATTGACTTGTGATAGAAGTAAAAAACAAGTCAATCACACATGTCAATCACAAGTCAAGCAGTCTTAAGTCAAGTCACAAGCTTTTCCAATAATTTGCAACATCAGGCATTCCTTTCTCACTGTTAATCCCCTAAACTTGAGACAAGACTTGTGAGAGACTCAACTACAACTCTAAATTCAATTTATATTTATTCATTCATTCTGCTAGAATAACATGGCTTAATAATTGTTTTCTGATTTGAGGTTTTAAATGAACGATATCAAAAACATATGTTTCGTTCATCTGACCTTGAAACAGCTGACGACGATGTCAAAGTTAGCTCCTTTGCTGCTCCCGCCATCGCGTGGGTGTGCAGGATTTTGAAGAGTATCTTCGTCAATCTGAATGCACTTTTGCTGATGGAGGGCAGAGGGTACGTAGCATCCATGTGATGCAACGGAGGGCCACTACTGTCACCTAGACAAAGGATGCCATGGATGTCAAAAGTATATTAAA